TTTTGTGTCGCCTACTGGCGACCTCCCATTCTCATTGTCGTCCTTAGTCGTTTCAGGGCGGATTGGGGGAGAACACTCGCTTTCGACTGCTCTCGCTTAGTTCTATCCCACATCCTGAAGGTCGCACTGGATCCATCGCCATCGTCAGTCAGTCATTTATTCATTACCGTACTAAGCTGTCAAGTGTCTCATTCCGTATTCGGGTCAGGCAATTTTTTTGTCAATTTATTTACTCAGGTGTTATGAATACTCGAGTATCTCGTAAATATGAGACAGAGACTCCATTCACTCAATGGTGAGTGCATTTCCTCGCTACTCCCAGGACCGGGCATGCTACGAGGATTTCCCACCTCACGCGTCCGGAGTTCGACGAATCAGGAGGAGTTGACGAAAAGGGTTAAACTCAGTAGACAGCGACCGCATTGACACGTCTTGAAACGAATTCAACGACTCCGCAAGCGATCGAGCATGGCTCGTCCGCGAACACAATGAATCCAATGCCCCTGGAGTGATCCCCCAATCCGGGCTCGATATCGGCGCGCAGACGTCCATCCGGGGCGTCAGATGCGGAAGCCTTACCGGGGCGGCGTGGGCATGCGACTCCAGCGATAATTAACAACGTGGACAACGTGAGAAGGAGCCGTGAGAGAGGATCGCTGCTGATTCCGCTCTGAAAGTTTAATTCATTTTTAATCTGTTCGCTTTATCACCATTTGCTACAAAGCGGCCGCGCGGGCGTCCGAAGAGGTGGTCGACATGCGGGTCGGCCAACGAACGAATTGGACTGACTGTCTACCTCTCTAACGGGCTGACATGGCCGCTATTGCTTCGCCATCGAGTTCCTTTCGCCTGCCGTCTGTTGAAAAGCAGGGGGTCCGGGAGAGGCACGGGGAGAAAGAGGGTTTGCGCTAATGTAGAGGGACATGCTAACCCGGTATTAACTGCTGCAGAACGGCAGGAACGGCTTTGACCATTCTACCAATGAGCTGTTCGCATGTCCAAAAGGGCTTCGGGAAATTGCACTGGCTCCGGATAATCGTCAATCGACTTTTACGCGATTGCACGACCGAGAGTCAGATAAACGGTCGGCATCGCCGTTCTCCGGGAACGTGTTGTTGTTGCGAACACGGCACAAGTTGTAGATACACCGACGGCGGCAACCGCTTCCACCGGAGCTATCCAACTATTCAAACTTTGAACACGGGACCGATTTGTCATTTTGAGACTGAATCCGCTCGGTTGGCTCTCGACTCAGGCGGGGTTCCACGTGAACAGGCCTCCCCGATGATTCCGGACGAACGCGGAGCTTATCTGAAGTTCGATCGACATGCGGAGCCTGTGCGATGTGAAAAGCAAACGGTATGCTGATACGCGCGCACGGAACTTCGTTGAATAACTCAGGAATGGAACAAACGCGAGAAATTCAAAAGTTTCCGGCGAGCCAACAGACTTGAGCCACCGAGATCATACCGAATCGGTAACGTACGAGAGTTCGCGCATCCTCCTGAATTTAATTCTTATTCCATTGAAAAATGCGACAGAGGCGGAATGTGAATTCTGCAAATATTTCCGATCAAAGGAAAAGAGGGGAACTGCTACAAAAATCCTTTCCTGACCGAAAAAGCCCAAGATTCCGCTCGCGCTACGGCAGCCAGCCTTCAGCCGTTTCATTAACATGAATAATTGGACTTTCATCCAAATCTCTCGTTCATCCCGCTTCTCGTCGCTACTCTCCCGCGTCTCGTCGCCGTCGTTGTCGTATGGGTTTCACCCTTGGGATCTCGGGTAGGGAAGTTCGGGGGACTCGCGGGGATCCCTGTTGGAGAAATGCAGAGGGGCCTCATGGACCGAACGGAACCCAAGTCACGCCCTCTGATGAATCTTCCGCGGCGGTTTTTTGCTCTACGCTCGACGGTGACGTAACAGAAGAAATAGCCAGAGCACATTAATAACCAAGCTCACCGCAGTCAATGGACTTGGTTTTACGAACTTCCAAGCGAGAACGCAAAGCTACGAACGTAAATGAGCAAAGGCTGCTGGGAACCCCCTTCCCCAGCCGAATAGAGCTACTGGAATAATAAAATTCGACTTCTCGTCGCTCCAATGGGTATCCACAGAGCAAGAATATTATCCCCTCTATCATAATCTCCTCGATAGCTCGAACGTTAAGGAATAGAGAATAGTCTGAAGGAGATTCGTAGAGGAAATTTAGAGGGAAGAAGAACTCGATGCCGAGGCTTAGTAATGTCACAGGTCGATATGGGGAGCGCTGGACCGACGGAAGATCTTTGTCATGCCACTCCCCATCACGAACGGAAAATTCGAATCGACTTTTTTTTGCAGCTCTCCAATAGCGGATTAGGGCAGAATCTCCCTCTCTCCTAATGTGTGTCAGTGGGATTTCAAAATCCGATAAGAGTCGCTCATAATAAGGCCGTTAGCGAGAAGAACTCCGGCCTCTGGGAGAATACGGAAAAATCAACTCCGGGAACCCAAAATAGATAGGAGAAGTTGAAGGGAGCGGTCTTTCCTCTTCAGAGGATATTACGCGGGTCTCACCCTCCGATTTTGGAGAGGGGCAATTCGAATCAACTATTCCTCAAGACCCTATTCATCCTCTGCGATGTCTCGATTCTAATTTTCCACTTGCTGTGAGCTTCGGGAAATCCACAGGTGCAAAGACCGAGTTGCTCGGGTAGCGTCAACCGGTCTCCTACGTTCGCGTCGTAACCAGATGGAGGACGCAGGGAGAACGCAGCGGAAGAAGCCAAAAGGGTGAATACATTTTCGCTCAAGGTCCGGATATTGTCTCAGTCAGCCAGCCAGCACCCTGGCCGACCGTTCAGTCGGGGCTAGGTATTAATATATCGGCCTTAATGGACAACGGCTCCACGGGTTTTCCCTTCCGGGATTTCATGCTCTGCGAAAGGGGGTCGCGACATCTTTATGGAAGAGAGCAGAGACCCACGCCTCGCGTAGAAGGACTCAATCTACGACGCACGGACAACCGGCAAGTTATCTGCCGGGACTCTACGCGGGACCGAGGCTCTTCGTAGATAAAATTCCAATATTCGCCCCAAGCTGAACCGATCATAGTGTCTCGCGGGCGATCGTGGTCAGTGACCGTGCAGACCCTCTCTTGCCTCTAGAAGGGATTGCGGCGACCGGGATCCGCGTATGTGAGTGTACACATACATGGCCTCATACGTGGATGCTCGTAGACGTACGTCTCATCGACAAGCATCGACTCACCGCTCCCATCGTCAGGGGAGACGTCGCTGCTGAGGCCGAACCATTTGTATGTCGAGTGATTCCCGCCGCGGGATCAATGGATCGGCAACAGACGGAGATGTCCCCCAGACCCGCCGAGGGGAGCAGGAGCACGAATCGGTGGACGGACGGACGGACGGACGGACGGACGGACGGACGAACCCATAAGTGTAGACATGGGCGGAGGAGCGGCGGGCGCGAAGGCTACATGCCTCGGTGGAGAAAGGGTTGCTGGTCGCGTGCCTCGACCTCGTGCAGCAACTCGTTGTCGTCATCGCATGTAGTCAGCGAATTGTAAGAGCGAGGGACAGTTCGAGATCAAGAAGCAATTTGGACTATAATTATACCTTGCTTCGTCGACGAACCTTTGTCTCGTCGTGTTCACGACTAAATGAGTCACAGTGAGATCCTCAGTGCTCCGAGGGTATCGCGGTCTTCATACTCACAATGGGTCGGACGGCGTGGTGCTCGAAGACAGCGGACTGTCAGAGAGCGAGCTCCGGTCTGAATGCCTGGCTGGCTGGCTGACTGGCTGGCTATCCGAGAGACTGATCAAATGAATGCACTGCCGTTCGCAAACCAAATCTCATGGGTCCTTTACAACTGATCCCATCTATAACAAAACGGAAGTCCGCAACATATCGACACTCTTGCCGAGCAATCATGGCGAGTAGTAGTAGTAACGGTAGCAGCAGTGGCTGCGACTGCGATTCTTCAATCGGCTGTCAAGGATGTTCTCTGTGCTGTATCGAGAAATTCGGGAAGCGAATTAGTGAATCGTCGCTCGACATTGACGAAAATGTACCGCTATAGATCGTGTCCAAAGTCATGGATTAATTGATTCCTGGATTGACTGATTCATCGTCCCCTACGAGATAATTCAATTACGGAGGATTTTATGTCAGAACTTTGGATATTTATTTTAGTGCGAATAACGGATATTTACAGATGTCCTTCGCCATGTAACTTGGATTATTTCATCATCTTTTGGCGATTCTAGCATGTTTGTCTTCCATCAGTATTCCCTTCCCTGTCAGCTCCCATTCTTTTTTCCAGGGTGGCTGAACTACTTTGCTCAACTTCTAAGATTTGTTTATTGCTGACATCTTCACGTATCACAAGATCGGTCGTGCCGAAAAAAACGGTCGGTCGTTGGCCAGCTTGAATTTGCAAGTCGGGAGAACCCAGTGTCTTCGATCGAAACCCGGCTTCTGGAATCAGCATTTCGACCGGTCGTTTGTTTTTTTCCTCAGAATTCCGGATAACCAATCCTCCTTCTACCCGAGTCTTTCCTGCCTCATGAGTTTTTCTGTTTGTTTCCGTTTTTCTACTGAACAGGGCTCTCGGTGATAGACTGCTGATCGGTCCCACCAATAGTAACTCGTTGTGACTCAGTTGCTGGCTCGAGAACATTCCTTTAATTGGCGACTCACCATTCTGACGGAGGATGTGTGAGAACGACTGGCGAGAGAGGTTCGCAATTTGCGTGAGCACTGCACAGGACCAGGAGGGAGAAGGAGACGACCCAGAGAAGACCCTATGGTCTCTCTGGCCGCGATGACGCATTTTTCGTCGTTTCGGACCACAGCTGCTCGAGTCGAAAACCCAGAACAACAGTACGTAAGCCACGGACTCTCCGAACCTCCGGAGTGACTTCTCTCCTCGTCTCTCCCTTGCCCGCAAGTACTGTGAGCGTAGCAAACTAACAACAAAACAAGAAATTCGACCGAAGACAGCGAAAAAAAAGTGAGCCCAAGAGCCAATTATTTTCGGATTTGCGTCCTGCTAGGCCGAAAAAAACTTCTTCGACTTTTTCAGGGACTTTCTCTTTACCCTTTCTCGGCCTCGTTCGACACCACCGTCCTCTTTTCTCTTGGTTTCTCGAGTCAACAAGAGACTTCCCTCCCACGGAATCGTTCTCCTCTCGCACTAAAAGTTTGACCAGAAAGGGTCCCGAAGCTACGAAAAAAACTTATTCGAACCGAAGAGGGCTGCCACACAAAAAAGAAAAACGCCTTTCCCGATGGAAAAGCCTCCCGAACCGAATAAGTTCCCTCGGACCGGAAAAACAGTCTTCTGAACCGTAGGTCGGACTTCGTCCCGAACGGTGATGGGAGAAGCTCGGCTTGCGCGTCCACCCTCAACTTCTGCACAATTCACAGACGACCTATTTACAGCTGGGAACGTTCGAAGCTTGTCACACCCAATGTACAAATTCATACGATACACACTCGAGGCACTACGAACAGTTGGACGTTGTTCCACTGCATTCATACAAAACTGTGTACAGCTCGTGCTAGATTTACAATGATTGTATGTTTAGTGCCGACTACGGGCCTATGAGACGGTATCTCTCCTATCAGACGGTTTCCACCTCCAGCTGACTGAGCCGTGTCAGCTTGCGCGACGAGTGGGCCATACTCCATCTCTGTGACGGCAGCCTCGTCGATCGTTCAATCCGGAATTCCTCTATTTAAAAACCGGCCGGGGTCTCCGAATTCTGCTTCTGTACACGGACATTGCATAAGACCTCAACAAACAACAGTGTGGGCGCTCCTACCGAAGCATGATGAGGACCAACGTTGAGAGTAAACACAGCAATTTCCTGACCCCTTGACTGGTGGCTGACGACGCCATCGCTGCTCGCGACGCCGTATCCAAATTATTGTCGCAGTCGTTCTGGTTCTGCAACACTTGCAGACGCATGTGTGCTTCGAGCTCGGGCTCGTGCGATCGCGGGCACTGGTCCTGATAGATTTTAAGCGTGTAATATTTGCTCTCCCGGGTGTAGGCGAAGCACACGGTGCCCTTGCCTTCCTCCTCCGCGATCATGTACGTCGAGTTCCCTCGACGGTAATGCCCATAGCAGACGAAATCTGCGAAGAAAAAAACGCGTTGGCATCGCACACCCAGAGACTCGTCCGTTACGATTTTGAAAAAATAATTAGAAGTAAAATTAAGAAATCGGGAAATGGATCGGAAACGAAACGGAATTTCGTTCGAGAAATCCAATCGCGCGCATGAGGAGAAGGTCGTTTTTCTTGAGGGAAAAAACTACTCACGATTATTGAACTTGTAAGAACCGCACGATGTGTAGAACACCATGGAGCTCTTATGGATGCATCCCAGCGTGGAAAAATGGCCGGTCCCACAATGGTCCAGAGGCATTTGAAGTTTGCCAACAACTTTGAAAGAGTTCCCATGCAGAACACACCTCCTCGGTGCAGCACCTGGAAGAAAAATGTCTCATCCGACTGCTTCTCTTATGGAGAAAGATATATGATTCGAGAAACTTCCGTGAACACTTCTTCTAGTTCCCGCATCCACTTCGCCCGAGCGCGGATGAACAACAGCTCAAAACAGCTGCGACTCCGGGCAACAAGGTCGACTTGGATACACTGGCGTACAAAGTGCCAGGATGGAACATTGAAACGTCAACGCAAGAGACGAACGTCGTTTTGTCGCAGCAGTTCCCAGCAGTTCCTACTCACGGTAGAGGGTGTCAAAAGTACGGCTGTCCTTGTCGTAGTAGGGCTGGTAACACGCCTCCTTGACGGTAATGGCAGGCGATCCAATCTGCAGCTCGACAACGTGCTCTGAACGGCGATGGAAAGTCATACAACGGAAGCTTGTTTCGCTGGAAAGAAAGTTTTTCTGTCGGTTTCTCCACTCGCTATACATAAGTATGCCTGTTCGACGATCCTACCCAACGTCGCGAAAGGTCGCAAGGTGCGATATTCGACCGAGAGGAGAGCTCTATTCTGAGGAGTGAGCTTCAGACTACATCACAGGATGCCGAATCATTCATTAACGTATACGATGCGTCACGTAGCGCGCAAATCCCTCAAGGTAGAGTCTGTTTTCTGTTTGTGGGTCGGCGTGCCCGTACGTCTATTCATTCGCTATCAGGTAGTTTGCCGTCTGCCCTTCGTTTCGCACATTCGAGAAAAGGAGGATACACTCTCAACGCGTGAGCACTACTGGCAACCGATAATCGTATGGGACTCACGTGCAACGAAACTCGCTTCGTGAACACCAGACAGCGGGATCAACACAGAGCGAGTGAGCGCGCCTGCCCGCCCGCCCGGCCGCCAGTCAGCCAGCAGGCGGGCGAGCATTATTCAGCCCGGTATAAATCATAGTGTTATACTGGTAGCAAAGCTACCGCAGAGTCCACTGACTGAGTCACTGGATGTCCTCATCACATTTGTCTTGATTCGTTCTGTGTGCTCGGGGAATTAAAGGGATAAGAAATGTTCCTCCGCCGAGGGAAGAGGCAGGGATAAAAATACGCAACTCCCCTGTTCTCCCCTCCAGGACAGCGGTCACGGTCCTGGTCGCCCTTCTGGATCTGCGACAAACCCGTCCTTCGACTCGATGACGATTTAGTCCCCGTCTGCCTTCCTCTCATCGCTCTTCCTTCTCGGAATGGCAATCCGAGTCTCAGATCCGTCGGAGACTCATCCAATCGTCTCTTCCCTAGATCTGGGGTCCGTCATCAGGAACTCACCATTTCTGTTGGTATTCGACGACGTAGCTGAACGTCCCGTTGATCTCGTCGGGGTTATGGCCGACCATCTGCTGGATGCAGACGGCCCTCGCGTCATAATCGCCATCTTCTTTGATCGTCAATTCTCTCAGTGTGCTATTGAATATGAAATTCGTTTTCGAATCTCCGGCTGAATTGTATTTGTTGATTTTCAGCCAAATCGGCCGTTTCTCCTTCTCCTTCTCGAGCATGTACAGGGGGAATGAGCACTGCGGAGGCGGACTGTCGACTGAAATCCGAGAAGAAATCCATTCAAATCTATGCACGTGTGAGAACGTAAATTGTAAGTCTTTTCAGGACAGCCTTGTCGACCGACTAATTCCTGGGATTGAGTTCGAGAAGCAAAAACGCGTTCGCGGGGCATCTATGGGGCTCTTGAACGTGAGCGCGAGAGCTCTCACCGGTGTGCAGTTTCATGACGCGAGAACCTTCCGTGGCGGAGTACACGCCGTAGCAGGTGGCGTCGGCGCTCTCTGCTATGTACGTCGTCTTAGCTTCTGGATCGTGTTGGTAGATCTGCACAAGAAGACGACAATGTTAGAACCAGCTGCTTCGGAAGCAACGGTGGCATCAGCTGCCGCTGCTACCACCGCTACCGGGGCTGTTTCTGACTGAGTGAGATTCCTTTGTAACTCTGTGTGGAAAGTTCCTCCCGCCAGGTCTATTATTAGGGAACAAACACGCTCGCTGGCAAACGAAAAACTATTCCAACTCTGTACCGGATGGGCGCGGCAACAGGGCCGCCACCGGTTGTCCGTCTAAGGCACGTAGGGAGTTCCGACGGAACTCAGGGAGGGTCTCGAACGGCGGGGAGAACTTTTTTATTCCCCGATGCAGCTTCGGTAACGACGTAGATTACGCCGGGTTATCTGAATCAGCTCACATCGGCTCATCCCTCGAACAGAGCACGAATTCCGATAGAAATCAGGGATCGCGCGAAAATGTCGACGGACGAGCTCGAAGAAGCTGACTCAGTTCCGGGGGACGAAACAGAAATTACGGATACTCACGTAACATCTGTAGTGGGACGCGTCGTTGTGGTTTCGAATGTGGGCGTTTTTCTTTATCATCTTGCCAATGAAGTACAAATGTTGTCCGTCGCGCCAGCCGGCTATACAAGTCAGCTCCTCGGCTGGAATGACAAACAAAATTTCCATTCCCGACCTCTTGGGTTCTCAACAGCCCACAGACCAATGATCGCATGCGGGTGAATGCGCCCAGGAACAGCAGATATTGCGGCTCTAACAGACTGATATGCATGTATGCCAGCATGGGTTTAGTGGAGCATCACAGTGCGAGAAAAAAAGTTAACTTACTGCTTGACTCCGTCCCTATGACGTCCGCACAGGCCTGGAAGCGGAACAGCAACTTCGTATTGTTCTGGTTGCATTGGTCTACCCTCGATGGCGGACTGACGCATTCGCCGTGGTTGCGGTTGTACGAAAAGCGGTAGCTCTGGTGTTGGAGCGGACAGCGTTCGGGAGTGGCGTTCACTGCAATAAAGGGATTTTTTTATTAATTATTTTTCAATGTTTCATTTTTCTTCATATTCGAGTCCTCAGATAATTGTTTCTCTCAGATTCCCTCTCGGAACTCAATCTGAATTCAGAGTTCGAACGGGGACTCGCGCGAGCGCTTCGCATCACGGACGGGGGAAGAGAGGCGGATCAAGTCGGAAACTATCGTTTGTTTTGAAATAATAAGCCGAGCTTCGCCCGGCGCTGTCAGTTTCGCTCGCTATCTACTCGGTGCGCCTCCGACCTTGTACTTCGAGTGAACGGCAATCGAGGAGCTTATTCGGCATAATGACCGCGTTGGTAACCATCAGACCGCAATCTTTGACCAGATCGCCCGAGCTCCACTCATTGCGGTTGGTTTACATCGGAGCTCCAACTCAATCCGAAAGCTTCCGAGCTATGAGAGAGGTGGCCAGGCAATCAGAACAGAGGTGGAAGAAGTAAAACAGGAAGCGGAATAGATGATTCGTTCTGATTGTTTGTTCCCCTCCTGGGTCATTTTCCATCGGGAACCATCGTAGAATATTGAATGAAAGAAAAGAACGAACGAGAAAAGAACATCTCCGATAACAAGACCGGTCACAAATAACATGACCGCATCGGTAGCGCAACGGGAACTTCTAGGCGACGACGTGCCAGCGAACTACATAGTCCAGCTACGACAACGCTCGAGCGAGCTTATTTCGCGCCTCGTAAAGAGCACCGTCGGAACTTTCGCAACGAGTGAGAGTCTCCACTCAGAAGAGAAAGATGCGAGGAAGGAAACAAGCGGGCCAACGAAAGGAAATACGAGCGGGAACAAACGTGGCTCAGCGTAATAAATCGTATCCGAAAAGCTTACCTCGAATCAGGAGAACCGTGGGCGAGTCGGACTCGATTTGGTACCGGACCTTATTCGGATCCAACTTGGAATCCTGGGGTTTGTCGAGGCACATTGCTGGAAGGGAAGAAGACTTTATTTCTACGCTCTCGTTTTGAGGTGCATGCAATGCGGCTGATGAGCGCAGACGGAGGTTTTCCGTTTAGAGGAAAAACCTCTTTCCGGATGTCTGCTCGACGAGCGAGTTCTCAAAGCCCATCGTTGGATATTTCTGGCGAGTTCACTTATTTCTCACTTATTCCCGTATCGAACGACCTTCGGAAAGTCGCGACTACTGGTATTTATTGAGCAAAGGGAATGTTGCTCTTCGCACAAATTCCTGCAGAGTACTCGAGAGAGTGTGTCTGAGCGCAAGCGAACCGATATTTTCCCGTCGTCGCAGGAATCCGGGCAGCCTTCTATGTTTTTCCGCGGCGAGTTTGTTTTCGCTCAAGAGAACATCAATAAAGCTGGTCGCGCTCAGCGCTGCTACAACTTGTACCAGAATTCACAAAGATAGACGATCCGCGTTTTTGTCCCGAGCTGACAGCCGCAGGGAAGCGACACTACTGCGATGACTTGTACGTCCGACGATTTTGAATTATTTGATATCCTTTTTGATTCCTTTAAGGAATCCTCCCGGCTTCGATTATTATCCATGTCAACTCACATTTTCGGTATTGTAGAACGTTCGGATGCTTCTCGTGAATCACGAAAGCGCGGTAACAGCGGTCTTTCCTGTGAAAACAAACACTCTGCCTGAGCGAAATTGTCCTCAGTTGCTCGAGCGATCGTTGATTATTTCCGCTCACCCAGTCCGTGAATGACTGGGTGCGAATCGAGGAACAAATTCTCGCCTTCCACAACTACTGCGAGTTACGATCATGCGCCGAGCACGATCGGGCCGATCGTGGACGATATCTTAATGCACGCGATGCTCCACTTGATGGCCAGAGCTGTGTTCGTACGAGACTTCTAATTCCTCTTATCGGGACGAGCATTCCCTCCCCAGATCTCTGCTCCTCTGTCGGGACCCCTCGGTTCCCCGTCAACGATGTTAATTCAGACGTGACGGGAATAACCCCGGGAAATAACACCCTGCGACAAAACTCGGGGGTCTTGAGGGTCTCCCGCATGATACAACGAGGATCACGGATGAACTAGGTACTCTGGTACACTGTACGACCGCGGTAACAGACCGCGTCGTCCAAACCTTCGGGAAGACCGTTCCGGTCGACGAATCGATCGACCGGCGAGTCTGAGACGCTGTTCAGGGAAGTCCGAATGATGAAGAACTTACGCATCCTCGATGACGAATGTGTGCTCCTTGTCTGAGTTGGCGGCTGAGTCGATGCATTTCCCGCTGGCCAAAAAGTTGCTTTTGTCCAGCCTCAGGGTGTGTTGAGTCGTGTCGTGCTGAACCCAATCCCCGCTCCACTCCGCAGGGATCTTGCATTCCGCTTGACGGGTTTCTGTAACCAAGCAGCCAACATTTAGGGGGAGAAAGAAACGAATAAGGGTACATACTGCTTTTTGCCGACCTAGTGACAGCAATCTGTTTACGTATTACGTATTGCAGCGAGCAGCCACTCTTCGCGTGAGTTGGTAAGCGACCGTTAGCGGTCTCATGTCGGGGGTCCGAACGACCTTCAGATCTCCTCGTTTCCTCATTCCGCTGAAAGGAATATGGTTCCCCCATTTGCCCCGCAGGGTCTCCCTATCCCGACCGTGGTAAGCTTGCCAAAGAGAAAAAAACAGCCCGACGCGATGGTCACTACGTCTTCCGAGACGGACATTAATTGGATAAGCCGAAAATCACGGTTGCCCTTGACTTGACTTGTATTCTTTCAGACTCCGTTGTTGTTCTCACTGTTGGCAAGATCTCCCAGCACCATTTTATTTCTCGCTGCTCTGCCCGTGGATTTTTTGTCTCTCACTCTCGACTTACCCCGTCCGCACTCTTGGCACACGCTGCTCGCAGGCCTGCCTCGCCGACAGTCTGCTTATCGGAACCATAAGTCTTCTGAGGACGACGTCGACGGCGACGGAGGGAGTCGACTGATGTTGAAGACGTCAATTTAAAGCGGCGCGCGCAAGCGTACACATTATATTGATAGCTCTAATCTGGCGCAGTACAACAATGAAGAAGCTGGCTCCCACAAAAAGCTTCAACTCCACTGACGGCGCTCGGCTCGTCCTACGGTGGGTGTTGCCTCCATGTCCTCAGTCATTTTTCTAATTGGATCCGTTTCTGAGCGAATTCGACTCATTCACGCTCCGTGACAGTACGAGGAAGGCAGAAACTTCTTCGAATCAATTTCTCTTCCGAATACCCTCGCATCCCACCGTACCTACATCGGAGTTCCGCGAGTCGACGCTCCCTCAGGGAGCACTTCTGGAGAAATGATCATTCGTTCCGATACTCCAAACGTGACTCTTTCTCGGAGCCCGAACCGCTGGCGAACAGGAACTAGGCGACAACATCTGGCGTGCCGTCTAATCTGTACTGTTCATTTTGGCTGTCGTCCTTGAGGACAATACTTTGCAGCTTGTGCGCTACTCCCCCTTCGCTTGCTCCATCTGCATAATAAAACATCTTCAGACAACGAAAGCAGCAACAATGCAGCTCTCTTTTCATCGTCCGAACCTACACCACCTGCAAATGGAAAGCGAGCAACAGCTGCGCCGGTCGGGAAAAAGCGCGATGCTCTACTCGGCAGACGCAAATTACGGACAGTTGCGCCCACCCAATGGCAGAAATATGACTTCGGGCTCGGAAGCCGAAGCGCTTCCGAGCTCGACCCCCCTTGCCACCGAAACTGCAGAGCGGTTCCGGTTCGCTTCTCACACCCGTAACTCAGCTCGGGAATTCGAAGAGCAGATCTGAGAGGAAAACAATCATTCCCAACATCTTGCCGTTCCACGAACGGACTCCGAGGATCTTTCGATGGGGAAAGCCTTCTCAGGAAGTTCCAGAAATCCGTTGGAGGACGTTCGGGCAAGCGAAGAATGTTTGCGACCGACCGGAAGGGTGACCGTGGGGCCAGCGGTACTGTATAGGGGAGGCCAGCCGGTCGTCGTCCTCTACCGAAATTGGGATAACAAGGCGAACAGATTCGCTGCAAGGGGGCTTATTAGGATATTCATGGGTACTCGCTGCCGCCGCCGTCGTCGATGTCGTGTAAGGACTACGGATCAGGCGACTTCGGCAAACACGCAATACTTTATGTGCCAACGAAAACAGGATGCTCACGAAGACAGACGAGGGCTCGTCGTCTCCTCGAGAATAGCCCCGAGAGATTATGGCCCGCCCTCATGTACCAGATATCCCGCACCGCTTCTCGGATCTTCCGCTGTTGCTGAGTCGACCGCGGTGCTTCCTCATCTGGGCACAAACTGAATTTGAGGTTTCGCCCAAACCGAACCCAACGAAAGTACCGGACACGAAGTTTTCCGCCGCAGCTCGAGGAATCCGACCGGGACGCGACGGGTATCAAAAGCGCAATCGAGGAATTCCCGTGCGGTCCCACATTGCGGTTGGAACGGGCGGGCGAGCTTTGGGAACAGTTGGATGGGGAGCAGGCTCCCAGTCAGGTATCAGTTGAATCGGTCTATCTGGTTGCAAGAACACGGTTCTTGAATGCGTGGTGGCTTTCGACTGCTGCTTGTGCTCTCCGCTCGCCAGTTGTCCGATATGTTCCGAGGAGTAGAGTGGCTGGTCCACCGGCGGCGGGATATCAAATGTGAGGGAGCCACAAGGAACTTTGGGGAGACGGCGGCACGGTCTGCCCGGTGCCACTCAGAAGATTGCCTGCTTTGTGAGAGGAGAGCAGAGAGGAGACGGACGGACGAACGAACGAACGGAGAACAAGATGAGGAGGCCAAGGAGATCAACTGGCTGCGGCTTGCCATGAAACAACATACAAGCCTTTCCCAAGATTCAATCCCGGAGTGGATTCCGCCGCTTTCATCAGCAAAGCTGCCCGGGCAAAATAACTTCATAGTATCTCCTCATCCCAGCAACAGATCGAAGCGCAGGGGATCCGGACGGAATTCCGGAAAATTTGCCGCTTCGCGAAAATATTCCGATTGTACGCAATCGTTATTGAGCCGTGAACGAACGCATCTTCGGACGGAGACCAGGCGGCTGTGTCAGGGACATTCGAACGCTTTGTGGAAGCGTTCACGAGCTTGTTGTTGAAATCGTTATTAGGATGAATGCGGTTGCCATCACAGTCGTCGCCATGTGGGGCGGCCAGACTCGGTTTGTTCCTCCTTCTAAGTTTGTTTGAGTCGTTTGTCCGCGTTTCTACTAATCCAATTGCGTGGCCTGTGCCCCCACGCGTACGACGCAGGCGGACAGCCCGTCCGGCTGGGTGGCTGGCTTGCTGGCTGGCTGGCTGGTCGGCCGGCGACCGAGTGAACAGTCAGCGAGACCACCGTAAGAGCAAGGATCACCGAGAGAGGGCGAGAGACAACCGCGAGCGGAGAGCTTACCGAGCAACCGGGCTTGAGCTCGTTCGTAATGCTGATTGCCTTCCTTCAAGTAGTGGCGGTAGTCGTGGTAATAGTAGTCGTCGTCGTCGTCGTTGTTGGTGCAGTCCCAGATGCCCAGACCCACGAGCTCGAAAGGAACAACCGAAGTCATTTTGAATCCGCACAGCCAAGCTGCTACGCTTGATGAGGCAAACTTCCTCGAAGCGTGCAGGTTGCTTCATCCTGATCGAGATCTTCCCGTTCCCATGGCATGCCCGCATTTCCCTCTTCCCTGCTCTTCCCCTCCCTCTGTCAGCCTGGGTCGGAGCCCAGAACGCGAGCGCGCTCCCCTGCCCTCTCGATTGTCCGGATGCCGATGGTTCTCAGAAAGTACGATCACGCATATTTGAAATTTTTCCCCGTCGTCTTTCGTCGAGTTATTCCTTCGGGTCGGGTATTTCTCTTAGTTCAAAGTTCTCTCGGACAATTTCTCTCTCTGGATATCGTTCCCGCTCAGCCGTTCCGGGGAAGGTTCCGGGAGAACACTCCCACAGGTATCGACACTTTTCGTCGAGTGAACTTTCCAGAAAGGTGGATTACGCTCCTTTTCTGAACCATCCGTTCAGGGTGCTCCGTCTGAGCCTTGCCTCAAGGTCAGGGTAATGGTAGTGACGGTCGGGACGAAATAGCTACCTACCGCGTCGGCTCTGGGAAAGCGTAATGCGGCTGGCAGTTCCACCGTCGCCGAGCGACGCGTCGCTTGGCTGATCGCGCAGATTTGACACACGTCCGTCTGAATCGATCATCATTATGTTACTGTATTTCGGAGTGCACCGATCATTGTGACGATGAGGAATATCGAAATCTGCATTTCATGCTTCGCGGCTTGGCATGAGAAATTTTGGAAATTCTGAAACACCAGATCCGCAAGAGATTCGTAAACGAGACATCCTCGCGATTCTATCCGATCAGCTCACCCACGAGCGAAACTTGCGAAATGCGGATGACCTAATGGAATTCTTCGGCGATTTTTAGATACAACGGAACTGCTGAGATCGATACTCGCTTTCGTGGCTCTGCGTTTGGAAAATGGTCATGCTGAGATCGCTAAAGACCGGACAGGGCAGAACCTGATTTTATTCACGACACTCCTCGACTGGATGTCCGATTCCAAGTGCGTCGAGGTGAATCACTGGCAATGCGAAGCCCCCCACAAAAGCTCTGCCAAGTCACTAGAACCCGCCCGGTCATCGAGACCACGGGCGGTGGTTAAGCGCCAAGAGACTAGCGGGTTTGTTGCGGCATCTGTATGCACCCGGCGGAGATCCCCGATTCTGTCCGAAACACCCGTGCCTCGAGTTGTCTGCTGGATACCACAAACTCTCATTTCGTCGACTCGTTGATCGAATATGAAACACCTCGACTGACACCGAGCACAAGAAGACGCTGACTAACCATTAACTGACTGAGTCACACGATCCTTCGAGCGTGTGCCGGCTAGCTGAGAGTCCTCAGTGGGCTTCCCGAGACTTGAGCCCGAGAGCTCGTCGAAAGAGATTCGTCTCGAGATTCGTGAAACGCTAGAACATCTTTTCCCCGCCGCTCTTTTTCCCAATCCCCCCCTATCTCGCGACATCATCATCATCCACTCCTGAGAACCGCTCTGGCCGGAAACTTTAGCGAATTCGCCAAGTTCCGCTCATCACGAGCGATGCAGAGCAACAAACAACGTGGCATGCATACGAGTCACATCTGGAGCATCAGCCGCGGCCGACAGCCATTACTTAAGGTAACTGAAGAGCATCCGAACGAAGAAGAGAAAGGCAGCTCGGCCCCGTAAGAGCGTGCCGCTCGGTGCGCGAAAGCACGCAAGCACGCGTGCCCGTTCGCCAGTCGGGGGGAGGGGGGAAACCGGGAAGATATCGAATGTTCTAGATGTATCTCAAGTTTCCTCTGATGCTTTCAACTAATTTCACGTCGGTCGTCACACTCCACA